CTCAAAATCCTCCAAGGTAGGCTTCAGCAGTATGTGGACCGAGAACTCCCAAAAGTACAAGCTGGATTTTGAAGGGGCAGAGGAACTAGAGACCAAATTGCTAACATGCGCTGGATTATGGAGAAAGCCAGAGAGTTCCAGAAAAACATCTACTTCTGTTTCACTCACTATGCAAAAGCCTTTGACTGTGTGGACCACAACAAACTATGGCAAGTTCTTAAAGAAATGGGAATGCGTGACCACCTTATCTATGAACCTCTAATATGCAGATGATACCACTCTGATGGCAGAAAGTGAGAAGGAATCAAATAACCTCTTAATGAGAGTGAAAGAGGAGAGCGCAAAAATGATCTGAAGCTCAACATCGAAAAAACTAAGATCTTGGCCACTGGATCCATGATCACTGCAGATAGTGACAGCAGCAACGAAATTAAAAGACTCCTGCTTCTTGGGAGGAAAGCGATGACAAAGCTAGACAGCACCTTAAATAGCAGAGACATCACCTTGTCAACAAAGGTCCACATAGTCAAAGTGTGGTAAAGTGTGACAGCAAGAGGAGAAGGGTATGACAGAAGAAGAGATGATTGGACAGTGTCATCGAAGCTACCAACAAGAATTTGACCAAACTCCAGGAGGAAAAGGAAGACAGGAGGGCCTGGCGTGCTCTGGTCCATGGGGTCACGAAGAGTTGAACACGACTTAATGACTAAACAACAGACTGTAGTAATTTGCCAATGGAAGGATCATTGTTGTGGCTTGGGAAGGTTTTCTGTTCTTTACAAAAACAACACCCTCCCCCCCAAAAAAACACAGCTGGGCAGAATTTGGCCATGTTCTCTACTCCATCTTTTAAGCTGAATTCCTTTCCTTCTTAGGCCCAGTCTTTCCTTCATTAGCTTGCTTCCTCAGAGAAGATGCTATTTGTAAGTGAGCTGCCAACTATAGTTCCAGTGTGCACATTTTTTAATTCTCTGCAGCTCTTCAAGAGATGAAGTGGCAAAATAAAGAGGGGAGGAAGGAGGAATATGGAAATCCAAACGTTTAACTTAAGCCATTAAGTGCAATGCCAACTCAGACCCCTACCTCTTGCCATAAAAGGAACACAGTTTCTTAAGCAGCACAGAGAAGACTGGCAGAAGCCAGATTACCTTCCCATTAGGTGATTTGTGCAGATAGAGGATAGAGAGACAAAAATAGACAGAGCACGGTTATCATTAGTTGGCTGACAGGTGGCAAAAGGCAGAGATAGGCCCCAGGGCATAGCAACTTAGCAGTCTCTTCTTCATTCCAAAGGGACATGGCATGGTGGAGATGCTCATAGTGCTTCTTTGGTGACTCTGAGTCATATTTTCTAGAATGATCAACTGCTAGCTTGACCTTAGCATTATGTGTTATGATCTGTCTAGTTGTTCTGAACTCTTGGCTTCGCACTTGATTATCCTCCTTGGCAGGCCAGTCAGGTTATTATAGTGCCCACCCCACCTGCCAGCCAGCGTCAAAGGTAGCTCTGGATTAACTTTATCCCAGCACACTAAACTAGACCACCACTGAGATATTCTTAACTCAAAGAGGATTTTCCAGAAAGGTAGCTTTGTTAAGTCTGTTTCAGCAACAACAAAAACAAAAGTTCTGTAGTACCTTTGTGCCTAACAAATTTATTTTAGTGTGAGCCTTTAGGCATGGGAAGTTGACTGTAATCCACAAATTCCATTGAAATAATTTTGTGAGTCCTAAAGGTGCCACGGTTTTGATTATTGTTTGTTTTTACTGTCAAAGAGATGTCAGATATTGCCCCAGGACTCTTACTGTAATCAAGCTTTGGACCCTTCTGTAGCTATATCAGCACAAACTGTAAAAACTAGATATATTTGGGCAAAAAACATTAAAGCAAAACCAAAGAGCTAGTGAGGATTGTCATACATCAAACCTATTTTTCCCCAGCAGAGCTTTGAAAAGCCTTCCTTCTAATATAATGAAGTTTACAGTAACACCGTCATACATTTTCCCATGTTTTTCATCAGCACTAAATGGAAAGGTAGTGAGCTGATTCATCACTGAGAAAACAAAAATCTCCTAGCTCACAAAAGAGATAGAATGCATTGTGGGGGGATGGGATCTTCAGGTATTTTCTTCCTACTCACCTCTTACACCAGTATTGCTTCTTGCTCTGCTCATTCTTTTCAGGAGAAATTTATGTTGTGACAATTCATATTAGGCAATCTAACTGATTTTTCTAAAATTCATGATGATGGGAAACTTAACAGTTTGTTTATACTGAAATTCAAAGCTGGCCAAGCTCTCTGACAGGGCAAATTATTCATTTCCTCTACTCCCTACTTTGACTGATGACAGCAGTTTCCAAAGGGCTTGGAGACAAATCTTTCCTATCCTTTCTTTCTTGGTCTTCTTAAATGAAGATGCCCAATTTGAACCTTGGCAATCCTAAACAGTTAAATAGGTGTTCTGTCGCACTGAAATATGGGTAAGACTGTGCAGTAAATCCACTTGAAAAAGACAAGGTTGTTCTGTAGTGTACGTCTTTTAGACTTGGCTATGTTAATGGTAGCAGTGTTATAGCTTCTGATCCCTCACATAAACATTAGGTAGATGATGAACTTGCAACTCTGTGATTCCAATCATTAAGGAAATGCTGGCAGGAATTTTTACAAACATTAATATAAAGCCCCTTTTCTCTCTCTAGTACTAGTGGACTTCTATCTCTACATTTATTATTTATATAAATTAAGAAAATAATAACAAAAATTTAAAGGTATTTGCCACTGAATTATTACTCCTTGTGACGAAAGTTAAGTCACAAGTCTTGTTCCATTTACGGCCAACATGTGAAAGTAAATTAAATGCTTCATGCACTAATAAATAGGCTGTATTTTATTGTAGAAAGTTCAAAATTAATAGTATTTGATACTAAAAAAATCAAGATTTATTCTTGCTTCTGAAAACCTCTTATTATATTAACGCTGTATTTAACATCAGGTATTAATACTATAAGGAACATAAAGACGAGCTATTTGGGAAAAACATACACATAAAAACTTAGACTTTGTGAAAATCAAAGTACCAACCATGACACCTAATATAATTTCCATCAATATTATACTTTGAGTCACTCAGAAATTACTGTAGTTTTTCTCCTAATAGAAAAAAAATATAAAGAAAACATTAGGCAACGTTTAGGTAATACAAAATTGTTTCTTGCAAATAGTGCATTCTCATGACAATAAAATACAGTCTGTACCACCTTGGACTATAAATAAATGAGAGGAATACACTTTCCCTGTGTCAAAGAAAAAAACTCAAGGTGCTAATCATCAAACATAAGTAGGTAGAACCTCTTGGCTCATCAAGTACCTACCAGAGTCAGTTGCCTTGCCTGGTGTCTTGTATTCTTTTTGGAGAGCCTGAGCCAGGAGCCAGCAGTCTTTAAATACTTCCAAGTAGTTACCAGCATTGGCTAAGAAAGGCTGAAGGAAGAACGGTACATGTTTGTGCGCATGTGTGTGCTGAACAGGAGGAAAGAGTATGTGAGCAATGCTACTGCTATCAGGTGGCTTAAAATAACTTGTGACAAAGTGTTGGATTGAACATGTTATGAGCAAGTGGCAGAACAATGCAGGGTCCTCAGATTACATCTAGGTGCCCTTTCCAAATCCAGTTGCTTAGATATAAAGAAATTAAATAAATAAATCAATATGTCATAGGGCATGTGATGGGGTAAAAGTCCATTATGACTGAATCCTTACAAATAAAATTAAAGAGAATTATGGACCCACTGCTCAGCTATGCATGAGTCAACAGCAACAGGCCTTACAGCTGTGATAAACTGTTGGTTAGGGATAGAAGAAATTTCAGTACAACACATGTGGATGCTGCCAAATAAACACCTTCTAAGAGTCTAAGAGACAGCAAGAGAAAACGGAGAAGGGGAGAAGCAATTTTTTGGCAAATTGTTTGAAATAATTTATTTATTTATTTATTTGATTTATACCCCGCTCATCTGGTCAAATCGACCACTCTGAGCGGCTTCCATAAAAAGTATACAGTGAAGCATAAAAAATATTTCAAATAAACAACACCCCATATAATAAAACAAATAATAAATGGAAAGAGAAAGGAAATCAAGTATTGACAAGAGGGAAGGCCTGAACATATAGCCATGTTTTCGTTGATTCTTAAATATGCCCAGCGTAAGGGCCGTACGAATCGCTGGAGGAAGGTTATTCCAGAGACAAGGAGCCACCGCCGAGAAGGCTCGATTTCGTGTTCTTTCCTTCCGGGCCTCCCTCGGCGTTAGGCTCCCCAGCATCATCTCCTGGCTCGTGTGGGTGATCCGGGTCGATCTAGGTGGGAGCAGGCGTTCCGCCAAATATCGAGGTCCTAAACCGTTTAGGGCCTTGTATGTGAGCTTTAACATTTTGAAATCGATGCGGAAATGGATGGGCAGCCAATGCAGCTTGGCCAGAATAGGAGAGATGTGATGGTGTTTTCTCACTCCAGTGAGGAGTCTGGCTGCCGCGTTCTGCACCACCTGAAGTTTCCGCATCAGCTTCACAGGGAGCCCCATGTAGAGTGCGTTACAGTGGTCTAATCTAGAGATTACGAGCACATGTACTAAGGTAGTGAGCGCCCTCATGTCTAGGTAAGGATGCAACCAAAGGTGGAAAAAGGCGGTGCAGACAACCGACGCCACCTGCAATGCCCAAATGCAATATTTATTGCAGGAAGCAGGTCTGTTAGAGGAATCCAAAGGGAAGTAGTCACAGATGGGAGTGACACTTGCCATTTAATCTTTCCTTCTGACCAGCCAAATCCGATAGCTTCATGGCTAAAAGAAATCACTTCTACACATTGCTGTCCATGGGTAGACCTATTTAAACTTTCTGAACCTTTGTCAAACACAGAGCACCAATTCGTTCACAACTGGAAGACAGAGGCAATAAACGTCTCCTAGAAATTATGCCCAGCATTAAGTGGCCAATGAGAGGGATACCCATCTTTATCATACCTCAAGTTCTTTTTCTATCAGAACCCCCTTACTGAAAACCATCATTTTCAGCAGAAAATTGGCATGAGGCTGCAATATGTATTGAGGATAATTTGAAAACTCGGGTTGTATCACTTGGTTTGTTCCATAATGAATGGAGGCAGGTTACACTTCTTTAAATCAAGCAATGTCACAAGTAGTTTAGCACAGGCTTACATTTCTGCATCAAATGAACCACAGCATTTATTATTAAAATAACACTGGACATACAAGATGCAGTTATTTTAACTAACTGAACGTGCCGAGACTATGAATGCCACCGGAGTGCTTGAAGGCTGCACATCAAAAACATGAAGCCAGACTTGAGATCAAAGACAACTTCACAAGGCAGGTGAGTGAATCAGGGAATCAGGTCATGTTTACAGCAGGCAGAAAACACAGCAAGTCTGAAATGCGTATCACTAAAGGTACTGGAGATACAAACAGGAAAGAAAGGAGAGGAATGTCTGCAACGTGAACAGAAACCACATAGTCAAGAAATGACGGAACCAAAAGAGCAATATTCAGAGTGCCAACTGTTTGACGCATACAGAAAACACTTGATCTTGTAACAGGGTAATGGCCAAGCTGGAAATAATTGATTTTTCCTATACTAAACACATTCTTGTAGTTTGTTCTGCTAGGCATTCATTAAAAACATGCTGAAACAGAATTGGCAGGCATTAAAAAAGGTACTAGATCAGGAGAAAAAGTTAAGAGATTGCGTGGGGGAAAAGAAATGGAAAAACTCTGATTATCTGTTTGCAGGACTGGCAAAACGAAGCACAACGCCAGGGTAGTCTAGGGTTGTGAATTACAAACTTTCATTCGGACAAGAAATGTAAATATGCTTGTGAGTTTTCCTAATGGCGGAAATTGGTTTAGATTGTTTTTGACAATCATATGAGAATTGATAAGCCAATCAGTAACACAACTCTTAATATTTTTCTGTTTTGATACTTAAGAAGCAGATCTCCAGCTCTCCATCTTCACGTTTTGTTCCATCTATACCTTTTCTCTTTTCATGTGGCATGTTTTTTACATGTTGCTCCTGAAGATGCTCCAGCCAGAATACTGTTTCAATGCCAAGAATACACGGATGAAATTTTAAAAAATATAGGCTTAAATTTAATTTGAAGAAACTGATTAATGCCTTAAATAAATTTCACATTTACACAGACGTGATTAAAATACATAACTTTACAACACTAATGAAAAAAACAGAATTAAATATTATCTGAACCTGTTAACTAGGGCCCTTCAAGTTTAAAAAATATGGCATGTTACATACAAAGTGTACTTTATATATTTAGTACATTTTTATGCAATACACTAGAGTTTTCTTATTTCATGTACCTCTGAGGACAGACATTTCACAGACTCACTGCAAATTGCTTCTTAATGTAAATGGAATTGTTTTCTCCAACAGATGTTTATGTATGTCCTTGTTTTTTCAAAAAGTGAACGTTGATCAAGTAGAACTGTAAGGTAGAAATTTGTTCCAGTATGACAAAGCCAGCTTTATGATCAAAGATCATTTACAGAATACACAAAATCAGAAACAACAGGTTGCAATTTGGAAGCATATTCTACCAAATTAATATTCACCATCTTCCATTGAAACATCAAGGATTTTGTTGTTGATGTTGTTGAACTACCAATGCTGAAAGTTTATCTGATTTACAAGAAGATGAGCAAAAGCCACACATTATGGCTGAATCACACGACGACTGGAATAGGTTTTTGTCTCCTTTTGCAGAATCACTGGAAGCCACAGGAACAGTGGTCTGGATAGAAGGGAAAACCCAAATTATTGCAACTAGAATAGCTTAAATAACTCAATGGGTAGAAGGATAACTCAGTGAGTTAGGCATGTGGTTGTAATGCCTGAGGTTAGGAGTTTGATTCTATACAGTGCTTCCTTGGAAGAAAAGCCAGCCTGTGTAGTCTTGGGCAAGCTGAACTGCCTGAAAATGCTCCCAGAAAAGGGGATGGTAAACCATACCTGAGAATTCTATACCTAGAAAATCCTGGTCCGAACTGACTTGATAATGCAAAACTATTATTATTTCGACACATCAGTATATGGACAACATATGATTCTATCTTCTCTTTTCTATCTACTAATCTTACACAGCATGTGGAACTGTTGGGCATGTGTCTGGAAGCAGTTCTGGGATAGATGACAAGGCTAAACAAGTTGAAGCATAATACTGGTAAGAGAGAAATAAAACTATCCCAGGCAGATGGAAGGCTGCAAGCACTTCATACTTCCCTTTAAGTACTAAGTTAGAAGCCTAGAGAGACTTTTTCTTTACCTCTAGAAGCACAAGTAGTATTGGTAGATGGAAGCTTTGGTTGTTATCTTTAGGAGATGGACACGAGCTCTGCTAATTACATAGTACCAAATAGGCCAGGCTAGAGTAATGTTGGCTACGTGGGGCTACCTTTATAGTCAGTGCAGAAACTTTAGGTGCTTTGTTATGAAGTCGCAACTGCCTGAAGGAAGAGCTAAATCTATACTACCCTGCCAGGGCAGGGAGGCCCACATTTCAGGGCAACAGAGACAAAATGACTTAGGTGTTCTTTCATATCTGTAAAATACCATTCCAAACTATATATGGACTTCTACAACGCTGGCTTTAAATGGGGCCTAAAACCCTTTTACTCCAGCCTCTGTTCAATTAAGCTACTAAACCTTTTGATACTTTGTATTTATTTTACTTATTTACTCATTTTTATTTACAAACACATACTTTTTATATACTTTGCATTCTTGCTGAATTTAAACTGTTGGTTTAAAATTATTTTAAGCTGTTTTAAAATAATGCAAGTGCAGTGCTGGCTTGTAAAATGCTTTAAAAATTATAATATTTATTGTACTTTAGTGGAATTATGTTTTATCCTTTTTACTGCCTTAATAGGGCTTTGTTTGAAAAGTAGTCTAGAAATCATTCAAATATTTTAATGCCTAGGAATACTACACAAATAATACTGTGGCCCATGGATGGGGACCTCTTTCAGCCAAAATGCTGAACTGAGTTCCAGAGAGTTGCTCCAGGTGGGACCAAAGGGAAAAGTGTGGGACTAAAAATGCCTGCATATTTTAGCATAAAGCTTCTGCTGCCAAGAGCTGAACCTTAGGCGAGGCATTTCAAACATGTGGAATGGAAGAAAAGAGCCATACAAAAAGCACTGGAAGACCACCAAGTGAACGTGGAGAAAGGAGCATGGCTATCCGGGGAATCTCAGATACCTGGACCCTTGCTTTCAATAGCCTTTGTGAACTTTGACATAAAAAAGATCCAGTCTGTCCTCCTTCTTCCCTCATGTCTGAAGATTTAGTCTGAGGAATTCTTAAGCATACTTCAATAACATCACCACAACAAAATGCAGTTTGATTTTAAATACCATTGAAAATCCCTTTTTTGACAGATGCACTGCAATCAAACAAGCCCAACCAAGCAGAGCTTTTGAAGGATAACTAGCTGGCTCCATGCACTTGTGCAAAATATATTTTTTAAGGCTCTAGGACATGAGTGGGAAATCGCTTGTCACCATCACTGCTTTTTGTTGTCTAGTTGTCTTCTAAAGGTGGAGCAGTGCCCCAGGATGCCATTCAGTCCCTGGCTATGACATTAAGGAGCAATTTCAGCTGGCATTCTGGCCAGTCAGCTACCCATTTTGCATGTTAGCTTTCCCGTGCCAAGGCATTAACTGAATACTCCCAGACCACTGCCTTGGTCCACTCCAGAACTTGCAAGCAAATGGTACATGAAAGTAACAGAAATCTTTTATACAGCTTGCAGTCCTCCTGCCCCTCTTTTCTTGTGCTCCAGGTGTTAGGCATAAGTTATGTTAGTCACATTTTAAAAGGCAAAAATGTACAATCAATAAACGTGGATCACTGATTATTGAATTATAGGCGCCTGAACATTATCCCAACAGTTCAAAAGAAACTCATTGAGTGTACAGTGCCATATGTCTCAAGTTGCAGAACTGCTGAACATTTGGGGCAAAAACCAACTGTAGACTTGCTGAATCAATGGGGCTCACATCAGTGTTGATTTAACAAATCTCATTCATTCAATGAGTCAGCTCTAGTTGGGATTAACAAATGGATTTAGCCCATGATCCCCAAACTGTATTCTGAAATAAAACAATCCAGCAATCAAGTAATGTGCGATTATTGGTAACATACAGTGGCTCAAAATCACAAGCATTTGTAATGCAAATGTATGAACACTAAAACATTATTCTCTACAAAGTGTTCTTACCGGCTGGGAAGGAGTAGCTAGAACCGAATTTCCATTTAATTCCTGGTTATAGTTTGGTGAGATATTCTGCAAAGATCCCCTTTGTTTCAGGCATATATGTAGTGGGGTAGAATTAACACGTTCTGTTCCTTGACAAACTGGGGCAGATCCAAGCACTTGCTCTATAGGTGTCTGTATGCTAGTTGGTATCAGTCTTATGTGTTGCAATGTAAAGTTCATAACTGAATGGCTTGGAGCTTGAACAGGATTAGTGTGTGCCAAAGCAACAGCAGTGCCATTCACCACAGATACAGCACCTACTGAGGATGATGGTAATAAGACGCTCAAAGGTGTTACATGAAGAGCAGGGAGATTAACTGCTGTGAAATCAGATGTCACTGGAATGCCACCTGCAACAATGGAGAGAGAAAAACCCCAAACTATTAAAAATTACAAAACTTGAACAGACACCAAGGTATGATCTTCCTGAGCTGGAAGACACTTATGCAGTCTGATCAGTTATCAGAAGCTTGGTCTTGGATGTTTTTTAGGACGGGAGCAGCAGAAGCAACAGTTATCATCTATAGCAAGTTGTCTCCCCTTGTTCTAGTGGGAAATTGAGGGTATTCTTCCCAAAGGCAGAAGTGACTTTCTGGCCACTTGGGTCATGGAACAGACACCAAGGTATGATCTTCCTGAGCTGGAAGACACTTATGCAGTCCGATCAGTTATCAGAAGCTTGGTCTTGGATGTTTTTTAGGACGGGAGCAGCAGAAGCAACAGTTATCATCTATAGCAAGTTGTCTCCCCTTGTTCTAGTGGGAAATTGAGGGTATTCTTCCCAAAGGCAGAAGTGACTTTCTGGCCACTTCCAGATAAGAGCAGAAATGCTAGTGTGTGCTCCAAAATATCCTGGAGGAAGACTTTTTCTGATTTAAGAGATGGCAACAAATATGTTTCATGAAACAGTTGGGTTGAAGACTGTGGATACAGATTTGGGGTGGTCAATCTAAGACCCCGTTGGCAAAACAACAAAAAAATGTGTAAGAGTTAATGTTCTTGTGGACCTATTCTCACATGAGATACAAAACAATTTCTTGAAATGTCTTCAACCCTGAGGTATAATAAATTTAAAAATCAGACTAAATAAGAAGCTCTTATGATAAAAAAGGGAAGGATCAAATTTTAATTAAGGAAGCAACTGAGGCTACAATAAGCTCTTCCCTCTGCTGAAGCTGAAGCTAAGCTGGGGAAGGCACTTTGCAAGAGCTAGCCAAGAATATTCCATGTGGTGTAATTGACAGAGTGACAAACTAGGACTCAGGAGACCTGGGTTCAAATCCCCACTCAGCCATGGATTCTCACTGGTGGTGTGGAACTGGTTCTGACTTGACAGTAACAAAGCCAAAAGCACAGGCAGCAAGAAATAATCTCATATGTTCATGTCACCTTAGGGATTGGTAAAGTCTAAAGTATGTAATTAATATGTATAGCTTTTTCATCTAAAGAGCTGCATCAATAATGTAATGTCACGTATCAACAAACTCCAGAGTACTCCAGTATCAATGAATACATACCAGCAATAGGAGAACCAGAGGATTTCTTGTCTGCATTTATCTCAGCTTTCCCATTATTGGAGAGAGTGGATTCACTTAAAAGATGTGCACACGGAGGAAGGGGTATAAGATAACCTGAAGGAAACCAAGTCTGAAAAAGAAAGTGTGATACTTACATGCTCAGCAATCATCATCTGGCATATTATGGATTTAGCTGAGAAACTGTGCTGGTAGTTCAATCCACCACCCCCGCACAGGAAAAAAAATAAGCAAATCATGGATGTCAATAAATATTCATGACTGGGACTCCCCTAAACTAATTTAATGCTTAGAGGTACCCACTGGTGCTGAGACAATGGAGCAGTATTGGAGCAGGTGGGATTTAACTGCTCCCCATAGTACTTCCTAGATTTGCGAGCTGCCACTGAGGACTGGGTGGGAAAGATGTCCAGGTCCAGTTGCCTTGACAAATAGGAAGAAACAGAAAGCCCAAGGCACATGTAGTTTGTATCACATGTCACACCTAGTTTGGCAACAGAGCCATATGTTTCTAAACATAAACATTTCCTGCAGTCTACTTTTAGCCGTTGATTGAGAAATCAAATATTTTCGCGAAGGCTTTCACAGCCGGCATCTAATGGTTGTTCTGGGTTTTTCGGGCTCATTGGCCGTGTTCTGAAGGTTGTTCTTCCTGACGTTTCGCCAGTCTCTGTGGCCGGCATCTTCAGAGGACAGCAACCTGTGCTCTGGTGTACAGTAGTTGGCTTGGGAAGCCAACTACACCAGAGCACAGGTTGCTGTCCTCTGAAGATGCCAGTCACAGAGAAGAACACCCTTCAGAACACGGCCAAAGGGCCCGAAAAACCCAGAACAACCAATCAAATGTTTATTTCATTGATACCCAGGCAAAGAGCCAAGAACAAAGCTAGATTCAAATAAGAATTGCCATGCTTGTGTTAGAAATCTATGGAAAGCTAACATACAATTTCTGACCATATTGGCTCAGCTTTGGTGCCTGCTGACATTGGTGCTGCAAAAAAATTAACTGAATTATTGTTGATGTTTTTTCTATATTTAAGACATGTCACACTTGTGTATTTTTCTTCCTCCTCTTCTTCCATAGATACATTAAATGGCAAGGACTTCATGTATATGAAACTAAAGGCAGACACTAAATAGGAGATGGCAAGCCATTAAACAGGTTGTATTTATGTATGTATGTATGTAATTTTTTATTGTTTTTAAGCCAGAGAAAAGGTACAAGAGCAAAATCCTTGTTGGGAATTTTACCTTCTGTGTAGTATCTGGAAATGCTACAGATATCTCCTGAGATGTGGTGACTTTATCACCCTGCAGAATACTTCTTTGCTCCTTCTGCTTATGTTGACATTCCAAGTGCTGGTTGGCATTTTCAGACTGACTTTGTTTCATCACTGATGAAGTTAAGACCTCCTGATCTAGATGCAGTGCTACAGAAGACTGGTGGTTTTTATTCCTAACAGATTCCCCCTGAAAAATGAAAGAACAGAGGGCTTAAATTAGAACATCTTTAGATTAGGTACAAAAGAATAGTAGATTAGATAAAAAGGAAGGTGAATCTTCACATCTGAGCCAGGGGTGCATTTGTACAATTAACATTGGTGCACCAACTGCGCCCATTCCTTGAGAAGTCTGACCTGGCCACGGTGGCACATGCCAGTTACATCCCAGCTGGATCATTGTAGTGCACTCTACATGGGGCTGCCTCTGGAAAGTGTCTGGAAACTTCAGTGGGTCAAAAATGCAGCAGCCAGATTACTGAGGCTGGTCACAGGGATCACATAACACTTGTTTCCAGCAGCTTTGCTCGCTGCCAATCTGTTTCTGGGCACAATTCAAAGTGCTGATTCTAACCTATAAGACCCTAAAAAGCTTGGGTCCAAGCTATCTAAAAGACTGCATCTCCCTTTGTGAGCCTGCTCAGGTGCTAAGATCACCAGGAGAGGCCTTTCTCTTGTTCCCACCACCTTCACCAGTTTGTTTGGTGGGAACATGGGAGAAGGCCTTCTCTGCTGCTGCTCCCAGGCTTTGAAACTCCCTCCCACAGGAGGCCAGGCTGGCCCCATCTTTGCTGTCCTTCCGCAAGCAGGCAAAGACTTTTCTCTTCAGGCAAGCTTTCCCTCAATACCTGGTTGCATGAGTGCGGTTGTTAAACAGATCGTTGTATCTCAACTGCTTTGAATGTACAGTGGTGCCTCGCTTAATGGGCAGCCCGTTTAACGACGAAATCGCATAGCAATAAACTTTTTGCGATCGCTTTTGCGATGTTTTAAATGGGGAAAAATCCCTTTGTGATGATTGGTACCCTGTTTCGCTTACTGATCATCGCAAACCGATGATTTTTTAACAGCTGATCGGCAGTTCCAAAATGGCCGCTGGGTAAAAAAAATGGCCGCCCGCTGTTTTCTTGGATGGATTCCTCGCTTACCGGGCAGCGAAAATGGCCACCGCATGGAGGATTTTTGCTTAAAGGTGAGTCTGAAGCCCATAGTAATGCATTGAAGGGGTTTCAATGCATTCCTATGGGCTTTTTAATATCGCATAGCGACAAAATCGCTTTGCAGAGATTTTTGCTGCACTGATTATCGTCGCTATGCGAGGCACCACTGTATTTTTAGTGTTGCTTTTGTTTACCATTTTTAGTGTGGTATTTGTTTTATCAGTATTTGATCAGTGGTATTTTTATTATTTGTATACTTATTGCTTTTAGCTTAAATACAGGGGTGCATCGCATAACGAGCGCCCCGTTTAACGGCGAAACTGCATAGCGATGCAGATTTTGCGATCGCAAAAGCAATCGCATTGCAATGTTTTGAATGGGTGAAAATCGCATTGCAATGATCGGTAAGCGTTTCACTTACCGATCTTCACATTGCAATGTTTTAAAAACAGCTGATCGGCGGTTCCAAAATGGCCGCCGGAAGAAAAAAATGGCCGCCTGCAGTGTTTTCACGTCCTTTCCTTCGCATACCGGGCGGCGAAAATGGCGGCCGTATGGAGGATTTCCGCATAGCGGTGAGTTTATCCCCCATAGGAACGCATTGAAGGGGTTTCAATGCGTTCCTATGGTGTTTTTTGTTTCAGATAGCGACGATTCTGGATAGTGACGATTTATCCGGAACAGATTATCATCGCTATGCGGGGCACCACTGTATTGTTTCTTAATTATGTAAGCTGCCCTGAGTTCTTTTTAAGGAGAAAGGCAGGGTAAAAATATTTTAAATAAATAAATAACAGTTCACGTATGTTCTCATTTAATATGCTTGTTTGCCATATCCAAAGCAATTTTGCACATACTCAAATATGGCAATATATACAGTGCTCTCCATCTAAAACCCTATGCTTGTACTTGAACAATGAAATAACCTCCCAATTGTTCACTATGTGCTGTCAAGTCATATCCAACACATTGAGACACTAGCAGACATGTGAGGAGCTGTTTCACTAGTGTTACCCTGCAATGAGTTTCCATAGTCAAAGGACAATTTGAATTTAGGTCTCCAGAGTCCTAGACCATCACTTTATCCAGTACACCACACTGGTTCTCTTATTCCCATAGAATAATTTTTAAATCCTTTCTTCCAAAAAACACATTACTACAAACATTTGAGCTTGTACTGACTATACTCAGAGACCAACAGGCTTGGTCCAAAAGCAAGTGTGCTCCACCATAAACTTCATACTTCTGTTGCATCTAGTGCAGCCTTTCCCACAACTCTAATGGTCACCTGAAACCATACTTCTCTCCTATACCCCTAACAACCTGTTTTCCAACTGTAAGGATATTCCAATCAGCTGATTCCGTTTAAGTGAGGGTATCATTATTCTGGATGTGCCTGGTGAGTGGAACGAGGCATGCACCAAAGCAAAATTAACCCTAAAATACATCCAGCAGCCTCTGTTGAGGAGGGAGACCTTAACTGAATATCCCAGTGCCTCCTGATACAAACACTCAGCAGTTACTATATGCTTCTAGTGAAGACTAGCTGCAAAAGGTTGAGGCCAGAACATGCAGAGCCTTGCCCAGGCATAGCAGGGCAGCCTTATCTATGTGTGGGCACACAGAGAAGAGGAAAATGACTGAGGTTAGAATTGTGGTAATTCTCCAGGGAGTACCTGGGGCCTCCACACGCAACAAACTTCTTCTTAAGGGAGAAATTTTCAAACCTGTTCATGAGGGGAGCTTACCCTTGGAAGGACTGGCAGTACTTTCATTTTTCAAAATTAATTTTTTAGAAATCATTTGGGCCCATTTCCTTTCCCAACAATGCCACAAATAATGCTACTTCTGGGGGCTTGCAGGGAAAGGTGGTGGTGGTTGAGCTGCTGGAAAGAGACCTCTGCTGTTACTGCTGCCACCTGCAGCACCATAAAGCTGACCAGAGAGCAGCCCTCTATTTGTCAAGCCCTGCTGGCCCAACAGAAAGTGATGCTTTTGTGAATAAATCATTACTTGTCTAGTGAAATCTGCACCATGCAGCTGTCTGCATCATGCTTTTAAAAGGAAGGCACATAGGAGTGTGCAACATAAAGAATGCCACTTTTCTGGAAAGGGTGCCCACTCAAAACCCAGCTTACCAGCAGCACATCTTGAAGCTCCATTTCTGCACTCTTGCATTTTTTAAATGGAGTATCCTTCAATAAGGATTTGCATCTTTTGAAACATTTCTTGGATGCCAGGTCATCTTTTGTACCTTCTTGTTCTGTATCTGTTAGCAGATTCTGGTTTCTAGCACAGAGACTGCCTTCTCCAAAGCTGTAGTCACTGTCTCCAGTAAGCATTTCTCCAGGGGATGACTGTAAACTGGGTCCCAAAGGACATTTCATTCCAATTACGTTAGCACAGGGAACAGGCTGTACCGAGCATTGTGGATTGTATGTAGTCACTATCCCTGTTTGGGAAGGCTGCACAAACAGTGCATATGATACCTCGGAATGAACAGGAGGTAACACTCCTGGAGACACTGAACTGGGAATAAGAGGTCGGCTCTTCGACTGAGAAGACAACAGGAGTGGTTTCGGCTTCAAATTAGATTCAGGAGGGGATGTTGGACAGCATCGCAATGTGGATTCTTCTAATTGCATTTCTAGTTTTTTGAAATCCCTAGAAAGAAAGAAAGAAAGAAAGAAAGAAAGAAAGAAAGAAAAGAAAGAAAAGAAAGAAAAGAAAGAAAAGAAAGGGTTAAAATACCTCCATTGAAAACTGCTCTTCCTCAATAAAAGCAGAACACAAAAGAACGTGTTTTGCTTATTTAGAAAGATAGGATGAGCAAAGCATTAGAGTGCTGTTAGACCAAACACATTCACAAGAGTCCAACTGTGGATGAACACACTTTAAGTAAATACAACATTAACTGATAAACTGTTTATATTTATTCTAGTTATGGCCAGTGTGAACTTCTACTTTCAATAGTCAGCTTAATACGCACCAGTCAAGCATTACCACATTCCACTTACAAACACACCTTGAATGTTCATCTAACTGTTGTTTGCATACTGCTGCAAGTTGAGCCATCTTGCTTGGAATCATTGGGGGAATCTGACCTTTTGGAGAGAAGACAAACACAAAGAGATTTTACTAAGTCCACACTGTTTTTCATATCTTAGGACTGAGCAACTCATGGCCAGTTGAATTAGGAATTAAGAGATAGGCTCTCAGCCTGAAAAGACAACAGGAAGGTAGCACCCATAGACTGCACTCAAGGCCTAGATTAGGTCATCTACACACCCTTTGCTTGAAAGAAACAAAGGTAACACTTCTGTTAGTGTAGCTATGCTGGTGTAAACCAGATCCAGACACTGGAAATAATTAACTGAAATTAATTGAAAGCTTCCTATCCCCATTTCAGGTTCCCTAGGGTTCTCTTTTGCCCTGGAGAAGCCTCAGGACAGCTGGGGGAAAGCAGCCTTTAATAGTAAAAAATTGTTGCCAGATCGGCAATGGTGGTCCTGATCCTTGCAACAGCTATATTTGACTATTAAAGACTCCCTATCCCTGTCCTGAGACTCTCTCAAGGCAAGAGAGCCTTAGGGAGCCTCAGAATCTGAAACAGAAGTGGAGGTGGAAGCTTCCAATTTATTATTTCCAGTGCCTGGATAGAATTTACACTGGTGTAACTACATCAATAGGTTACTGCCCCAATATTAAGACCAATGGTTCATATAGTTGATACTGAATCTTAGAAGACTCAAGGTTTTTCACTGCAAGTCAACATGGAGAAGTTAGTAAGTGAACCTGCTGTGCTTCATATTTATGCTTTTGGGACATAAGGAACCAGAAGGATTAAAAGTAAGACTGCAATTTATCATTTCAAGTCTACTGAGGTTCATGTACCTCTGCAGTTGTTCAGCAAACCATAGTATGAAGAATCAGAAGCAATAAGATTGGCGAACACATATACTCCCACTGCCACACACACACGTGCTAAGAGATGAAGTGCAAACACTCCTGTTCAATATGTCAATAGCATGTCCAGAATGATTTTGGGAGGGTTCATATTTTAACAACGTACTTGTATTTTTCTTGATAGGACTGCTTGGTGCCGAATGAATCTTTCTCCAACCACTTTGTGTAGCCTTTGCCACTTTAATTAAGGACGAGTGTCGTGTAAAGCCTTTCTTGTTTCCAGTAGGGAAAAGATTCTTGGAACAATGCTCCCTGGAAAGATTCGCTTCCACAGTATGAGATGATACAGTCACAGCAAGCATAGGTTCAGGCTTGGTACCTATTGGCCAATTATATTTAAATTGTAACATACGTTTAAAAAACTATTACTTCAACTTCATTTTAGCATGATATTCTGAGATGTTATTGAGAGAATAAGGCAAAATGTGAGGTAACGGATAAGCTAATTGAGGTGAAAGATAATTGTCACATCCATTTCTGTTTTTTTGCCAAACAGAAAGCTGCTGGGGAAATTCTCGATTACAGGGGGTGGGGGGAAACAACAAATGAACTGCAGGCTGCCTATAGCCCCGCAGGGGGTGGGGTGGGGGAAACAACAAATGAACTGCAGGCTGCCTATAGCCCCCAGGAGCCAAATGTGAACTTGGAGCACCTCTACTTTTTCGGTGTTGTGTTTTGTTTTGTTCAGGAACGATTGTGCTTTCTGTCAAATTAATGGCCCCATCAGCACCCTCTTCTAATTTTTTTATTTTAAAACTTTTGGCCATTAGAAGTCAAGAGGGTACTTTTAAAAGGGGATTTGACTTTTGAGCTTCCAATTTTTTTTTAATGTTACTGCTTAATTTTTGCTGCTCTGAGCCTTTCACCTGTAATTACATAGCCCAACTTTACATAGCCCATATGGAGCAGATTGAAAGAGCATCAACAAATAATTTATTAGCAAATGATCACATTAGTACAAAGCTAACATGGCTTTTCTGAGAGTATTTCTTTTGGTGCTCAGACAAATTTCAGGGAGATTGGACAATAATACCTTGTCATCAAAACTGTCAACCAGAGGGCAGAGATAATAGTCTACCTACCCTGAGTATCTGAAAAAACATCTGGTCCCGTCCATTTAAAAGCTGGCTTGCGACCCTTCTCTTCTGTAAGATGAACCTTCTTGATAAGCTCAAGGCTACTGAGGACATTAGCAATATCATACAGCCTCCGGATTTTTGCTGAAATGAGTTTCAAAGAAAAAAAGTGGTATCATGATAGCATTATTAAATAGTGGTCCAGTATTATTAAAAGTCAGACAGCCTACATCAATCTTTTTCTTCCAAATGCTGCTTTAAACCAAATGCAGCCAAAGCATTTTTACTGAAGGATGCACAAGAAAGGAGTACCTGAACGGGCCAATGTTCTAATTCACAACTGTTCGCCCCTCTAGTACTATTACAATAATTCCACCCCCAAACCTGTTTTTTGGACTACGAAAGATGTAGCAGGGGAGAGCAGTGATTGTGGAAAGAACTGCTGAGAGAGAAATTGTGATGGGGCTGGATCTCAAAAGGTATTTTCCTCAAGAACATTTTCCAAGTACTTGGGCCTCGTATCCTTCCAGAGGCCATGGCAACCATTATGTTCAAGCCTTCAGAACAAGCTTCCCGCAAATGCCCTTTCTGAAGGTGACTTTCAGTTCAGGTGTCAGTTATTTAGAGCCTGCTTCCTTTCCAACGGGTACCTCCACAGTTGTATAACATACATTTTCTTGCTTAGACAGAACAGAAATGGGGATGGGGTGGGGATTTCCAGGGTGAATTTGATAGTCAGCTGTGACAAACCAGAACAGTTATTTCCCAGAGTTAATGGCAGGGAAAGAGTGTTGTGGGGCAGCTATCCTAGCAGTCTGCCATGGAGGAAGATAAGATACAGAGCACAGAGTGCTGTCCTCTGAAGATGCCGGCCACAGAGACTGGCGAAACGTTAGGAAGAACAACCTTCAGAACACGGCCAAAGAGCCCGAAAATCCCACAACAGCCAGAAGATAAGATAACTTGGCACCGTATGTTCTGCTTGAGAAGGTGGCCAGTGGAAAAGAAAAAAAGATAGAAGCAAGTAGCTTCAACAGACTGAACAACAACCAGGGAATGACAATAAGGTGCTGGTCACTGTCACTGTTTTGATTAGGGTACCATCTTTTCTGCTGAACAAATGTTACACGTAAACCATATTTTTTCACAGATTAAAAACATAAGAAATCTTTGCCCAAATAAAGACCTTTATGTGGCAGCACAGTTTTTGCTATAGACCAGACATACTAAAAAAATAGACAAATGTCTATTAATATTTAGAAAGATGATTATCATTTGCTGTCTCAGCTCTGAAACACAATTTGGCTGGATAACGTTTGGTTTACAGGATCAAGAATAAGCCATATGGCTGCAAATTCACTCTACAACGTTGTGGTTGGATTTTGGGAAAGCATCTTGGCCTCTTAGCCACAGTTTCCCATTTTGCACATTATAGGAAACTGACTTAGGAGTCAAGATATCCATTACATTCCATTGGCTGGATCCTTTTCAGAGGTGGACTGAGTGTTTCCTGAGCTAGATTTATTTAGCTATTTATATATTAAAATATTTATATATTAAAATATATTAAAATAATTTTACCTCACCTTTCCCCTTGAAAAGGACACAAGGCAGCTTACAATATTGAAAAACAATACTTAAAGATGAAAATGATGAATATAAACAGGCAGCTTATATCATTAAAAGGCAATATTAAAGCTAAGAACAGTAAGTATACAAACAGAAGGACAGTAAAGATGGGGCCAGTGGGAGGAGTTCCAAAATCTGGGAGCAGCAACAGAGAAGGCTCTCTCCTGTGTCCCCATTAAACACACCTATGAAAGTGGCGAGACCGAGACAAAGACCTCTCCTGATGAATATAAACAGGCAGCTTATATCATTAAAAGGCAATATTAAAGCTAAGAACAGTAAGTATACAAACAGAAGGACAGTAAAGATGGGGCCAGTGGGAGGAGTTCCAAAATCTGGGAGCAGCAACAGAGAAGGCTCTCTCCTGTGTCCCCATTAAACACACCTATGAAAGTGGCGAGACCGAGACAAAGACCTCTCCTGATGATCTGAACACCCAAGTTGGCTCATAATGGGAGATACGCTCTTTGAGACAGCTTGAACCCAGGCCATTAAGGGTTTTATAGGTTAAAACCAGCACTTTGAAGTGTGCGCTAAGATGGTGCTAAGGAACAGATCACCTTTGGAAGATCCTGGACTCTCAGGAAAAGGGTGGCAGAATCCCCTCCCCAAGAGGTGGAAACTCAGTTCTCAAGTCAGGCCACGAGGTAAGGCTACCACACAGTCCTTAAGAGTAGCCAGCAGTGCACAAGGCTGGTAGTTGTTCAATGCCATTCCTACAGTCTCATCTTGAAGAAGGATCTCTGGACAACATTTGGTAAACTGCTTGCAGGGAAGCTATGGCGGGGTTCCCGAACCTCAGCTTTATATATCTCATGTTTAGGGAAGGAAGGTTGTTGGAAACTGTCTGCTTCTGGCTCCAGTTTGTCAGATCCTTCCATGATTACTGTTTTGACAGGTCTCCTTTGCGGCTGAAGCACTTTTGACTTGGACTTAATCTCTGAGAGCCTTAACACTATCTTTGGATTACCCTACTCTCTGTTTGGACCATGCTAGCTTAGTCTTTAGATTGTCATGAACCTGCCTCTGCAGGAGATGGAAGGAGTGAGCATCTGGATATCTTGCTTCTTCCCAATTCAGAAAAGCATAAGTTTATTGCAGTGGTTCTCAAACTAGGGTCCCCAGATGTTCTTGGACTGCAATTTCCAGAAACCTTCACTACTTGCTGTGCTGGCCAGGATTTCTGGGAGTAGTAGTCCAAGAACATCTGGGGACCTGAGTTTAAGAACCACTGGTTTATTGCTGATGCTGCAGCACCTGAAGCAGGCCATTTGGAGCTATTGGCTCTGCTCAGATGTCATAACAAGCTATATTTTATCACAATGGACTCACAAGTTTCACTACTCCTGTTTTGCCCTGGCAGGAGGCTAACGAGGTTGTCTACTTCTGTATATCTTAGCAGATAACATAAATTAGTTTCTGAACTCCTCCTTGCTGTTGAACCAGAAAAGTGACTGTTTGTGAGCTCAAGGCTTGCAGTAGATTAGTTCTACCATGATAAACTATACTGTATTTTCAGAGTTAAAGTCTTAGCCCTTCTGAACCAAGAATTGCTTAATTAACATTAGACTTTCAGTTTTCATTTTTTACTAGTAGTTTACAGAATATAACAACATGGATTTATATTGGGAGGGAAATAAACAAGTCTATAAACAGCACTTTCTTCAACTTACTTTTAAACTTGCTTTTATCCAAGTAGTCAACAGGGTCTTCACCAATCAACATTTTAGCGGCAATCTCTAGACTGACAGCCTCAGGAGTTGATACAAGAAACAACATCACAAATTTCTGACTCATCACTCTTAAAGACTTGTCTTTATGACTGTTTACTGAAGCTGTGCAAAGAAATAAAAGATACACTAAGCAGAAGCTAATTAACAAATGTAAAGTTAGAACTATAGTTCCAAATTGAAGAAGGGTACAAGCCACTGACAACAGTCGTTATACAACTGCCAGTCATTGCAAGGGGTGATTAGCAGTGTGTATTTTAGTTTCTCAATGAATTAATCAATTTGCTGAGTAAACACAAAAGATATACTCTGTTTATAAGAGGAAGCCCACATATGATCTTAAGACAGGCAGTTAGTTCTAGTAAAACATAGAATGGCTTTTAAGATTGTGATTAGCACCTGCAAACATTGTAAGTGTGTTACAGTGATGCAATGCATATGGATTTCTCTAACTAATTCTTTGATTAAACATTGCAGCCTGTATTTTAAGCATTTTGACCAAAGCAGATCCCACCTGTGACAGACAGATATTGACATGGCAATCCTAGAAATAGTACAAAGTCTTACCTCCTCGAAACTCCATCCCAGGAAGTTCCACAAAGCAAACATCTGTGTGATCGTTGGGCCTAATATGCTTCGCCACTAAATCGATCTTCTGGATGCCTTCTTCAGAATCTTGTTCAGATTCTCTTTTCTTAATCAACTCAACTTGGTGTGCGTATTTGTTCTCTTCAGCTACTTTTTTCAAAATCCACAAGGTTTTCTTAAGATTATGACGCCCATGCCAAGAATATTTGTTTTTGGCAAGTCGGCTCACCATGTGAAGGCTTTCCAATACATTCATTATGTCATAGATACGTCTACGCTCAACATCTGTAAAGGGCAAAATTTATATATCTGGGTTCCTTTCAGCTTGGTTGGCAAACATGTTTAAGTCCTCTCAAAAAAAAAGGTAAAATATTTTTAACAACACAAATAAAAGATAGGATTTCTTCAACTATGCAAAATGTTACCACGGTTAGTTTTCACAGGTCTATTACACTTTCCCCCACTTCTCTATTCAAGTAATAATTAAATTATTTGCATATTCTCTTCAAGTTGAAGTACTTAAAAGAGAAAAAAAGATAATCTCATTAGCATATTTGTGAAACACAAGTATACACCCCAAAATAGCAGAAGGTATTCTGAACAGTCATCATACTTGTAAATTGATTTTTTTAAGTAACAAAAACTAACTGAATGCAATGTCTAAATTCAGTTGGGAGACCTGCTGAATCAGATGTTGAATGATGAGGCAATATAGAGATGAATTCCCCTCTAGTTAGGGACTTCCAAATGGATTTGGGCCAATGCCATTTATGCAAAAGAGAAGAAGAGATATCAGTGTTATCACAGACATGAATATGCCCACTTTATGGAAGAAGATAATCCATACAATTAGATGTGTGCCACTTTTTCAGCACCATGTATGCCTCTTGGGTCCATTTCATGTGGATTAACAAAGAAGATAATGGAAATGAAAATGGGGGAGGGAGAAACATCCCTTCTTTCCCAATGGTCCTAAGGAAACAGGGAGAGTAAATTCCACCCAACTGGGTTTAAACAGCCTAGATAGACTCTCATAACACTATAACTGGTGAATGCTAGAATGGAACTTTTCAAGTACAGTGGGGTCTTGACTTGAGAACTTAATCCGTATTGGAAGGCGGTTCTCAAGTCAAAAAGTCTGTAGGTCAAGCCTCCATTGACCTACAGTGCATTGAAAACTGATTAATCCCGTAACAGGCCGTTTTTGTTCCATTTTGGTTTTTTTCTGGTCTGTAAGTCAATTCTCAGGCTGCAAGTCAAACCTAAATTTTGCGGCCAGAGAAGTCTGTAACTCAAAAAGTCTGTAAGTCAAGGGTCCACTGTATGTCCAGTTCCCAAAGGCGGATGCAATCTTTACTCTGCTATCTGGAATATCGATACTAGAATAAGAAACTCTGTAGATGATGTGTGATGAGAATCTCCTCATCACCTACCTCTAATGTTCAGAGGCACTTACTGAACTGAATGTCTCATCAAATGGTTCTGCTGCAAAACAAAACCCTGCTCCAAATCTTTGATGGTTGCAAATATATGACTAGTTACTTGTCACATAACAAAGCTGATAAATATGGTAAACGTATCATTGCCAGAACAGGCATTCAGTGGCATAAGACACTTCCCCTTGCTCACACCATGTACTGCTCCTGACTCCAGGTCAGGGGAATCTATGGCCATATACATCATGTTATTTGCTGCTAGCCATGGTTGATGGCACTTCCAAGTCCCGAAATATCTGATGGGACAAAAGTTTACAATTCATACATTAAGGAATCAAAACTAGAGATAGCCACAAACCATTGATTCAGTGGTGTGTTTGGCAGCCCAACAGGAGTCTGGTGCTTCAAAGTCCTGCCTCCTCCAGCAGCCGCCCACTTGGAGGTAGTGGCTAGGCTTCCTTGCCTCATCTCCTCTGGTATTGCCTCTGAGTGGGCGCTTGCCAGATGAGGTGCAGCTTTGAAGAGCCAAACACCTGTTCGGCCACTAAACAAACTAGCACGAATCGCTGATCTCTAATCAAAACTCTTCAGAGCTAAGTTAATGCAGTTGCAGTTACATATAGCATTTCCCTGTATTGTTGCTGTTAGAACAGGAAGTACATTTTTAACAGCATAAACTGATTGTTTTCTCTAGCATCAAAATACGGCCCCAGACTTACTAAGCTCTTCTGCTACTTCATCAAGGCAAATTTCATTGTTTTTAGAAGTGTTTGGATAACTAGGATATCGAGCCAAAAATTTGTGACAAAGTAGTCCTAGACTTTTATCTTTACGACTTGGTTGGGATTTTTCATAATCATCTGCTGATAAACAGTCCTGTAGAAAGAGAAAATAATGGCCTTCTGTGAAAAAAAATTAAAGACGTGACAGATTTAATATCAGCATCTGCAAAGAATGACTAATACAAAGTGTCTAATTCTGTGACAGCTGGTAAGCCCCAAAATAATTTAGCTGCCATGACACATCTGCTACGTGTCAGTTATAAATCCCCAAAATAACTAGCACTCCAGATTTCATGGGAGATTTAAACAAACCAAGAAACTGCTTGCCTAGTTACTTTTCAAGTATACAGTTAAAGCTTCAGTATAATTCCTCGTTTGTAATATTACAAGGAGGAAAAAGGAAAAAAGTTTTACCTCAAGTCTTTCATTTCTACTGTCTGGCAACTTTTTTTCCTGTTCTCGATTTCTAATTTCAGGACTAGCTGCACTGATCAGGATTTTAAGGTTGGCTGTTGGTGTCCATGGATCTCCAGGAGATAATTCAGTAGGTTTTGGTGGTGTAGTCCGGTGGTCAGAAGCAGCTGGCTGGATCTCTGTCAACAGCCAATGGGAGGCAGTTTTCTGTTTTAAAGGTGTTTTCACTGTGTTTTCATCTGCTTCAAAAGGCTGATTTTCCTGAGCCAAAAAAGAAAGGAAAAGAAACACTATGAATGTTGAAGTAAATATCAACAAACCATAATTTTGTTTCATACATACATTTAATTCCTACCATATTTTATGGAATGTAATACATATTTAAGAGAGCTATACTGTACTTACATTGCTTTAGAGGAGAGCTACATGTTGCAGTAACCAACAGTCTGCTGACAAAAATGGAAACTTACCAGAGATGCAGGGTGGTCAACTTTCTGTGGAAATGTTTCCCATGCACTATTTTTTCCATAGAAAATTTTCTACATCATACATATCTGTTCATAATTGTCTGGGCTGCTATATTATAATCAATCATGTTGGATGGGCTAAATATAGGAGATGAACCCCTATAAGTTATTCTTCCAAGAAGGCAAGCACTGAGAAACTCTAGTGCTCAGCTGCCTGTAACAGAACTGAAAAATGACATATGACAACCTCATTCTGTGCACAATGCAGTTGGCTTTTGACTGGATCTGGACCAGACTTATACATGGTGTATTTGTCCTCAGTCGATTGACAAATGAACATGATTTCACTTATTTCTGTTTCACAAAAACTCTTGTTTCTCAGTCACAAGTACAGATAATCAAGACAACATGTGAATAGCTGCTTGCCCTTAAACATGCCCATGCATTTTTCAGAGAAATAGATTTAACTAATTGTATTGAACCAGATTTTTTTTCAACTTAAAATGGAACTGGAAAGTAGTTCTGAGAGTGAGTGAAGCTGAAAGTTCTGAAACTGTATCTCAGCAACAGAAAGTGAAACCATATCAGGCCTTTCCCCTTCCAAAATTGGAGGCATTTTTTTTTTTACTTTTAAAGGCTCTCCCCACCCCACACTGTCCCAAGGCTTCACCAGGGCAAATGGGAACCCTATTAGGTTTCAAAACCTAAGAGGAAGGGGAGTGGCAGTGGAGGAAGTTTTTAATTAATTTAAAATAAATGTTGCTAGTGCCAGATGTCATCAACTTCTGCTACATAACTTTCAGGAAACAGAATTTTGGCCACTGTAATTTTAAAATGTCTGTCATTAATTAAGCTGAGGAAGAATGAAATATAATAGAGGAAGCACAACAGAGACATGGTGCCATCTCAGATGCATACCAAATAACTAGAAATTAGCCCCACCTCCCTCTTACTGACAGCATACATTCATCTAATTGATGGATTAATATGCATAAATTGGGCTCTATATCAATTACAAAATGGGAAGATGTAAACTAAAAAAAACCCAAGAAAATATTGTTAGATGTGTAACTTAGTCTGCTGTGGCTAAAGGTCCATTTGAAGAGACAAGACAGCTCAACTACTGTTTGATTTACCGGTAAGTATTTGTCTTTCAAATCCAGAAAAGAACTATGCAGTCCACTCCAAAATGGAGCCACAGTGTAGATGAAAAGCCTCATGTTACTTCTCCTCCTGAATTATACCTCTCTTCACCTTAGATGCCTCTTTCAAATCTTGGAAAGTATCTACATTTAGCTACAACCTGTCCTTTATTGTTATCCATTATTATTGGAATACATCTTTTTACAATTTTATGTTCCCACGTATCATACTTCCTTTAACTTGTTTGTTTATTGGGTAATTTTTTATATAGTAATCTTCTAAACTGAGTTTGCCTTTCTTGTAATAATTTACTATGTGTATTAAAGGGGCAAGAGTACCTTTGTATGATAAACTCCCCATGCTGCATAATACTTAAACCATGCCTACTGAAGACAGTTATAGTTGCAGTAAAACAGAGGAAATCTGGCTTCTTTTGCCACCATTTAAAAAATATCTTGTCACCAACTGGATAAGGCTAGTATGATGTCTGACTGCTAATAAGGTAGCCCTCCTTCAGCTGGTCGGTTTCGTGTCATAAGTAAAGCCAGACTTCAACCAACTGAGGAGCAAATACAAACATAAAATACAGTCGTGCCCTGCTTAACGATTGCCCCGCATTACGACGAAGCTGCTTTACGATGTTTTTGCTATCGCTATTGCAATTGCAAAACAATGGTCTAAATGGGGGAATTTCACTTAACGATGATCAGTTCCCTGTTTCAGGAACCGATTTTCGCTTTATGACAATCAAAAACAGCTGATCGTCGGGTTTTCAAAATAGCTGCCAGGTGCTTAAAATGCTTCCCGCTGTGCTTAGGGATGGATTCCTTGCTATACAGGCACTGAAAATGGCCACCGTATGGAGGATCTTTGCTGGATGGTGAGTTTTTAGCCCATTGGAACGCATTGAACTGTTTTCAATGCGTTTCAATGGGTTTTTTAATTTCGCATTACGACGTTTTTGCTTAACAGCAATTTTCCTGGAATGGATTGTCGTTGTTAAGCGAGGCACCACTGTTGGACAGTTTAAACCTAATGTGTCATTCTTGCTCAGTTACTTTGAAATTGTTTCAGCCATGGACAACTGCAACTTCATGGGCAAACATGTCTGGCCTATGTTTGGAAAATCAAGAGAAGAACAAGTCTGAACAGTCTCAAATAAGTTACCTTATCTTCAGTACTCATCTTGCAGCTATTAGATTTTCACTCATTCATGTGTTTATTTTAAGCACTTCAAGGGTTCGGTTGGTCAGACAGCATTTTTACCATTCTGAGAGAAAAAGAGAAATGGTATGTGAAATTGGCTGATGTCAGTATTTTCAACATCAAGGATGTTGTTATTTGCCATCAAACTGCCCCTGATTTATGACAACCTTATGAATTACTAATCTCCAAATGCTCTTATCATCAACAACCCTTCTCAGGTTGTATGAAACAAAATTAATACGTTACGACAAAGTAAAGCAAAAGCAAAGCAAAGTGTGCTGCTTATATACCGCCCCATAGCACTTCAAGCACTCTCTGGGCGGTTTACAAGTTAGTTATGCAGGCTACCCCCTGCCCCCCCCCCCCAGCGAGCTGGGTACTCATTTTACCGACCTCGGAAGGATAGAAAGCTGAGTTAACCTTGAGCCGGCTACCTGGGATTGAACCCCAGGTCGTGAGCACAGTTTTAGCTGCAGTACAGCAGTTCAACCACGGTGCCACGAGGCTACAAGTAGAGGGAGAGATGCTGACATACTCTTACTACAGGGGCATAAATTAATTCAATTACAGCACATCATGTTGAACTGAAGGTGCAAGATCCCTGGAAAGGAAAGCTTCTCCTTAATTGTTTTGTGGACAAGCATGGAGGCCAATTGTAAGCAGGTTTACTCAAAAGCAAAACTGAGTTTACAAGAACTTACTCTCTATAAATACACTTAGGATTAAAGAGTTTGTGGAACTCCATGTCACAAAAGGAAAAAAATCCATTATTAAGAATGTGTCCCTATGAGTATTACATTTTAATGAAATGTTCTATGGAACATTTACTTTAAATTTCGATGGAGCTGCTGCCTCACTGTTCTTTCATGCTGCCAACACTAATTTACACAAGACTACATAAGCACACTTCCTCATGGAAGTGATGGCTAAGGTATTCTCATTTTATAATATTATTCAACATCTACTTCTGAGGCCACATATCCTTTAATGAAGGGTACTGATACAGAGTCAGTCTAGATGAGCATTGTTGTTGTTGTTTAGTCATTAAGTCGTGTGCGACTCTTCATGAGGCCATGGACCAGAGCATGCTAGGCCCTCCTATCCTCCACTGCCTCACGAAGTTGGGTCAAATTCATGCTTTGATGACACTGTCCAACCATCTCGTCCTCTGTCATCCCTTTCTCCTCTTGCCTTCGCACTTTCCCAACATCAGGGGTTTTTCCAGGGAGTCTCATGAGTGGCCAAAGTATTGGAGCCTCAGCTTCAGGATCTGGCCTTGCAGTGAACAGTCAGGGTTGATTTCCTTCAGAATCGATAGGTTTGTTCTCCTTGTAGTCCAGGCAATTCTCAAGAGTCTCCTCCAGCCCCACAATTCAAAAGCATCAATTCTTCGGCGGTCAGCCTGCTTTATGGTCCAGCTCACACTTCCATACATCGCTACTGGAAAAACCATAGCTTTGATTATGCGGACTTTTGTTGGCAAGGTGATGTCTCTGCTTTTTAAGATCCCGTCTGGGTTTGTCGTCGCTTCCCTCCCAAGAAGCAGGCGTCTTTTAATTCCGTGGCTGCTGTCACCATCTGCAGTGATCATGGAGCCCAAGAAAGTAAAATCTGTCACTGCCTCCGTATCTTCTCCATCTATTTCCCAGGAGATGATGGGACCAGTCGCCATAATCTTTTTTTGATGGTGAGCTTCAGACCATTTTTTGTGCTCTCCTCTTTCACCCTCATTAAGAGGTTCTTTAATTCCTCCTCACTTTCTGCCATCAGAGTGGTATCATCTGAGGTTGTTGATATTTCTTCCATCAATCTTAATTCTGGCTTGGGATTCCTCCAGTCTTTCGCATGATGTATTCTGCATATAAGTTAAATAAGCAGGGAGACAATATACAGCCTTGTCATACTTCTTTCCCAATTTTGAACCAGTTGTTCCATATCCAGTTCTAACTGTTGTTTCCTGTCCCACGTATAGATTTCTCAGGAGATAGATAAGATGGTCAGGCACTCCCATTTCTTTAAGATCTTGCCAGTTTGCTGTGGTCCACACAGTCAAAGGCTTTTGTGTAGTCAATGAAGCAGAAGTAGATCTTTTTCTGGAACTCTCTAGCTTTCTCCGTAATCCAGCACATGTTAGCAATTTGGTCTTTAGTTCCTCTGCCCCTTCGGAATCCAGCTTGTACTTCTGGGAGTTCTCAGTTCACATACTGCTGAAGCCTACCTTGTAGGATTTTGAGCATAACCTTGCTAGTGTGTGAAATGAATGCAATTGTATGGTAGTTGGAGCATTCTTTGACTCTGCCCTTCTTTGGGATTGGGATGTAGACTGATCTTTCCCAATCCTCTGGCCACTGCTGAGTTTTCCAAACTTGCTTGCATATTGAGTGTAGCACCTTAACAGATGAGCATTAGTCTCATTTAAACCTACTTCTTTCACTTCCTGTTACTAAGACTGTGATGCTGTCATATAAGCACTGGAAAGAAAAACAGTAAACAGTAAAACAAAAGAAGAATGAGAAGAATGCCCTAGAACGGGTAGCATGAGACTTTTCTCTAAACAGAGGATTTGTTTTTATTTAACAATACATATTTGTGACTCCACGCCCTATGGAGAAGAGTGACAGTTGTAGTGCAGTGTGTCAGCTTCCTACAGTTAGCTGCAGCAGACTGAACCAAAATCTGCCTGTCTGTAGGTAATCCTAAAGAATTCTGAGAATGGAGGTCTATGTTGCCCTGAAAAATCACCCTTTGAGTAACCCAGTGCACAGGTGATCATCCCCTCTTGGATGATAAAGTTCCCTGAATAGTTTTATGTAATTGGCAAAGGTACACTTAATTGGGGTGAAATTACAGTAGAGCAAATTACAGTGGTGTACAATCTATAGAATTTGTGCTATGAAACAAATGAGGGCATTTGTGGAGCAATTTGTTCACTATGATGCTGTCAGATCTTTGCGTCAGAAGCACCACCATACAATTTATAGGATGCAATATAAAATTAGGCCATAGCCTGCATACAAACACATACAAAAGACAAACAGGTCTGCAAAATTAACTACCACTAAAATTGTAACACTTAAGTAAATATATCAGATAAATTTGCCTGTTCTTCCCTTCACTCACAAAGGATTGTGTCAATGTGAAAACCCCAATTTCATAGGTTCAGCCAGTCTGAGACTTCCAAGTCACCCAGACTGGGGGCTAGATTTCCCATGGCATCCATTCATTTTAAAAGCTTCTTAGTTCTTTTTTTTCCCCACATTATAATCCTGGCATTCTCTGCTGTTTCTTCAAAAGTCACAGATGTTCTTTTTTTTTAATCTTTTCCTTGATTTTTATATCAGAGGGACATTATCAGTTGTTATCCCTCACCATATTGTCTCTTGGCACAATGCCTGCTGGTTAACTGATTTTTGTTTATAAGGCTTGGTTTCAGGCATCCAGTAATGAGTCTGCAGCTTTCACTAAGTGCTATCTCCACCTATTTCGCAAGGGTTGAACTACAGCATGACTGGCATATTTGTTTGCGGAATAGCTCAGGGACCAAGGCTTTGGTGGTTTTGATTGTGTGCCCCACCTATTTCCCTATAGGTTTCAAAGAATCTTGTTCCTTGATGAGACCTTATAGTCTCAGATGAAGTGCCAGTATCTTAAGAAATGGTGTTTGGCAATTAAAGGAACATGGCATCATTCCACTTTCCCTGGAAGATTGTGTGTTTTCAACCAACCTTCTAGCAATACAGAAGTTATTCAGTACAAGTGTTTTGTAGGGAAATCAATATGGTCACCATGCCCTGTACTATCTGTAATGCCATCCACATCATTGATATGTAAAGTTGCAAAAGAGGATTCGCATTAGGTCTGTTGAGTAAAAACAAGGAGGAGTTCCACAGCACCTTAACAGTGAATTTTGGCACAGGGCATTCACAAATGCTTGCTAATCAGAAACAACAGATAAAATGCATCTTCTTGACAAAGGAGGCTGTTTACCTGCAAGGTTAACAACAATGAATCACCAAGTTGTTTTACTTTTATTTCATAACCTACACACACACTTTACACAAATACTTCAGAAGTGAAGTCAGTCTCTACAGACCCAGACCACAAAGTTAGCTACGGACGTAAATGAAGGAAAACCAATAAACGCAGTTCGCGACTGGCACAATGAGGGCGACGGATGCTCAGGATCGCGAGAGGCAGCCCCGATCCCTGCCCTTTGCCAACCTCAGCGCCCCGGCCCCGGCCCCACCGTCCCCTTCTCCCGGGAGTCTTTCTCAGCCTGTCCCGACCCCACCCCGCCACTCACTCCCTAAAAACTCACCGCTCGCCTGCTCCCCTTCTCACACCCACCGAGCCTCCGACCTCGCCCAACCCCGAGGTTCTACTCGCGCCCCTTCGTTGGGAAATGGCAGGCTCCGCCCCCGACCTTGGCACGCTCCGCACGCGGCACTTCTGATTGGCTCCTGCTAGGGAAGGGGGCGGCGACGTTCCGAAAGCCGGTTTAAACGTTTGGCGCCACCAGACCCGCCAGCTGAACTTTTCGCCGCGCTCTCCTGAGTGGCCGCGCGCGCGCGAGCGCTGGACCCCCACCCCCTTCCGAGAGCGAAACGGGCACGGCGTCGCTTAACCATTGCTGCTTTTCCTGCGCAGGAAAAGGGATCGCCTTTCAGACGAGACACCTGCTTAATCCTCCCTACCTCCTTCCCCGCCGCTGAGAGCCGCTCACTCGCTGCCTCCTCTTCCTCCTCCGCGTCAGCGATTTGAATTTGGCAGGCGGAGGGCGGAATAGTAGTGGGAAAACAGAACGGGCGGGGAAGAAGGGAGGGAAAGGAAGCCTCACACCAATCAGGGGCCAGAGACCTTCTCGTTCTAGCCAATCGCTGGTCTCTTTTTCTCCCCCTCCTCCTCCCGGTTTAGGCTGGGAGGGGCAATTTGAAGAGCGGCGAGGGGTAGTTAATAACCTGGTTGGGAAGAAAGTGGGCGCGCCGGGGAAGGAAAGGGGCGAGTCCCGAATTCAGGTACTCGTTCCTGTCAGGACTCAGCCCGTCTTGGCTGAGGTATCCTGAACATTAGAAAGTAACTTTTCCAAATTGTCGTCCCTTGCGAATTCGTATTTTTGCCCCTGAGCATGGGCAGAGTGTCTCCTCTCATCCATGACATTCGGCAAGATATCCCCAGCACAATCTGCTTTTTTAAAAATGTCGGTAGGGTTGCCATTGCTTTCCGGAAAATGAAAAAAAAAAGTGCCTCCGTGCATTGAAACCCTGGGTTGCGTTTCAAGCAGAAGCTCCGCGAAGCGAAGCTTTCTGCCCTCCTTCCCCCCCCCACTGCATTTCCAAAATGAGGAAATCATTTGGGTGCTTGACTGCAAAGGAGCTACCCAAGGGGAAGAGAAAAAAAAATATGGCAATGCTAACTGTGTGAAGTTGCTCCGATTAAGCTGTACCGTCTAACTCTTTTAGTGGACTTGTCTACGAAAGCTCCCATTAAAATATAGCAGGCTTTAAGGTGCCGCAACGTTTTCGTTTTCCTAATTTTTAAAATTTTGTTCCTGCCTGACACATTAGCACTGACTAACACAGCTACCTCTTCCAAAACTACTCTTATATCTGTTTGTATGTAAGGGAAAACAGATTGGGGTGAGGTTTCATTTCCCTCCCTCCCCGCCGGATTAGATTTTTTAGATTTAAAACCAACCCTCCTTGTCTATTCTAACAGACAAGGGAGGTTGGTTTTAAATCTGTAAACTTGAACTAATCATGCCTACTTAAAACTAATTCATTGTTATGATGTTTAATGAGTTAACCTTTATGAACTCTGCACTGACCTCTGAAGAAATGGAAGAGGGAAGAGAGAAAGAGAAAACTGGTCAGCCACCAACACCAGGAACAGCTCTTAGACGGGGAACCATTGTTTTGAAACATTTGCTCAATGGAGTTTGTTTATTCAACATATTTGTTTGTTGTGCAAACTTAGATTTAAATCTAAAATCTGAAACAACAATATTAACGTTACTTATATGCAAATGGAAACAGACAAATGTGCATCCATACAAATAAATAAAAGCAAACTTTAATACTAAGAGAAGCATTTGTATTGCAATGACTTCACTTCTTATACATGTCTTGAGTGGAAAATGCATCTGAATTCTGAAGTTTTTCTTCAGAAATCCGAGAAGCGACATTGACAATAATCACAGCTTCCTGATTTTTATGTATTTATGCAAGAGGTTAAAATAGAGCACTTTCATTTGTTTAATCCATTTGCTTTCGATTTTTGGTTGTGGATTATCAGAAATAAAGTTCAAAGCAAAACTTTATTGGAGAATAGAAGGATCCACAATTGGCATTGTGGATCCTTAGTACTATACATTTCAGTTTATTTGTGTGGGTTTAAAATATTGTAAAGTAGTTTTAAAATCCTGTGGACATTGCCGATCCCACTCTGCAGGGATTACAGTAAGGCATGGTATGTATAAATAAATAAATAAATAAATAAATAAATGACAGTGCAGATATACTTTCCCACATTCTTACTGATAACTGAGAAAATACTTTGCATCGTTTCTATAAACAGTCTACCATTATATCCATGTAAGTTGTGGGGAAAAATTGTACATGATGTTGGGACAGTTTGTCAGTTCTTTAGGGGAAGGACTACAGCTCTGTAAGCAGAATGTGCAGTTTCTGCATCTCTACATACTGTAAGAGACTGCTGTTTGAAACATTGAAGGAAGAATGTTTTTGTAACTCAGGGTACACAAACATGAGGCTACTAGTCCTGGGGGACTTCAACGTGCATGCGGGGGCAGAAACGTCCGGACCAGCTCTTGAGTTCTTGGAGACCATGGCCTTCTTGAACATGTCCCAGCATGTCAACGGCCCTACACACGTGGGCGGCCACACATTAGACCTGGTCTTTTCCACCAATGGGAGTGAGAGTGGTCCGAGGGTGACTGACCTCGAGTCGGTCCCCTTGTCATGGTCGGATCACCACCTAATAAAGTGTACCATCAAGATGGCCCGCCCCCCTCGCAGGGAGCAGGGACCTATTGTTATGGTCCGCCCTCGAAGGCTACTGGATCCGATTGGATTCCAGGATGCCATGAGAGGGGTTACGGCTGACCTGGCTGGCGCTCCTGTCGAGGCTCTGGTCGACGCCTGGTTCACAGCCGCGGCTAGTGCCGTAGACACGATCGCGCCTAAACGCCCTCTCAGCCGCAGAGATCGCCCGGCGCCCTGGTTTAACCAGGATCTCCGGACGTCGAAGCAGGTCAGGAGACGGCTAGAGCGCAAATGGAGAAAGGACCCGACGGTTTTTAATC